CCTTCTTGTTAAGAGTGACGATGAAATGGTGTCGTTTCACGTTCATAACTTTTCTAAGCGTCTCTTAATTCAATGTAGGCGCCTTTCTTCTTCCAATGAACTGTAAAACCGTATCGTAACTCTATTCTTATCCTCCCTCTGTGCAGCTTATAAAAAAATAAAACTGATAAAAAAACCTATTTTGTTTAATTATATATTTTTCTTTCATCAGAGAGATAGAATATTTCTTCGTACAAAATACTCTTAAAATTTAATGATTTGGTAATCTTAACATTTTTAGAGTAATAATAAAGGAAAATTGATAAAAGGAACATTCTGTAGTCTTTTTATATACCTACAAGAATTTTCCATATTCATAGAAGTCTATTTTTATTACCAAAATTAAAGTTATCAATAATCTATCATCTCTCTGTTAAATAAATCTGACATCTATCTTTGCTAAAAAGCTATTACTTCAGATAGAAACACTGCAACTGTCGGCAACTTTCCTTCCGGCACTTTTCCGACTAAAATCAATAAATATTAAAAAGTATATATTTTTATTATATTAATAATGTATTTAATATTATTTAAATAATATGTCAAATTATAAACCTTTTTATCGCAATAATTCAACATTTAATAGAAATTGATTATCCAAATCAACCCTCCATATGAGTTCAACTACTCTTCACTAGATGGCGATACCTTTTTGTCTATGCAGAATCAACTATATTTATAAAATTAATAACAATACGAAAATAGCGAAATATATAAAATGTTATATAAAAAATTGAATAGAGGAGAATTATTAGATTGTAAACTATATCAAACAGAAAAGATGTCATCGAATTATTGCATTGGAAGCTGTTATCGAAAAATTAGATATCAATAATCTACAAATATAAATAAAATGCCTATTTGAGTCTCTGCGTTTGTGAGTAAATAATATATTTGTAAGGAAAAAAGATATAATTTATAAATAATTGCTGCAGTTAATTTCATTGATAAGTATATTCTAATTGCGAATTATATTTTATCGTCTTATAAATATATTTCTTATTTATTATAAATATTTTTATTATTGATTTATACACAAACACCCGTAGAGGCTCATATAGACATTTACTTATATTTCATTTATATTCTAGAGCCACAAAACTATTTTTATTTTAATAATCAACAATTTGCAAAGTTTTATTATAATATAGTATCGTCTTTTAAATTAAAAAAAAAAGGAAGAACAAGCTTCGTTCATAAGTTATCGACGAAATGGACTACACAAGATTCAACACTTCACATGTTAATGATTTATTAACTTAGTTTCACATACAATAGTATTATGCGTGAACGATCAAACATTGTATAAACAAAATTTACAAAATAAAGTATAAGTCTTTACAGCTAAAAGCTACTAGTAGTAGTGGATCACATAGCTTTATACTTTTCCTCGGGTCCGGCAAATATTGCTTCTCCCGAGACTATCCATTTTTTTAATTTTATGTTCTCTATCTCTCATGTATGTATATATATGTATTTATATTTATATATA